TAAAAGGACAATTTCGCAGTATCCATTAACATAAAAAAAAAACTAGATTTGTGACTCATTAATCCCCCTTTTAGAAATCTACCTTATAGACATATAAGCACTAGGGTATAAAGATGCAAGTCAAGCATATTTCCTGTAGGATTATTTATAATATTAAAACAATAAAGAAATGAGCTAGTCATCAAAATTAAAAGATCAGAAAGAAGAATGATAGTATAACTTGTCAACAAATCCAATAACTAGTTTTCTGAAGGGAAAAAACAATACATAAAATTCTGGCAATGCTAATTAAGAAAAAAGAAGAAATTACAACTAAAGCATTATTAAAAGGTATATGTTTTGAATATGTCTTTAAAATTATTGGATGTTTAGTAATCACTAAGAACTATGAGAAATTTAATAATCAAGTGCTCATGTTTAGTCTGATAAATTCAAACTATAATAAGAATAGAAAGAGTGAAGATTTTTTCCTCTAACCCCATACTCCAAAGATAGCCTTTCTATATTTTTCTCTGTTATAATGATGATGAAAATAATATTGACTAAAACGTCTATAATTTTTACTATGTGGTATACATATATTAATTCATTTACTCCAAAAAACAACTCACAGGGAAGCTAAACACTATTATCATCATTGCTACATTAAAGATAGACAAACCAAAGTGTAGAGAAGTTAAGTGACGTTCCCCCTCAAAGTCATACAGCCAGTAAATGATAAAACTAGGATCCATACTCTCAACCACTAAACCATACTAAATTGACTCATTGGAAAAGACCCTGATGCTGGGAAAGATTGAGGGCAGGTGGAGAAGGGGGGTGACAGAGGATGAGATGGTTGGATGATATCACTGAATCAATGGACATGAGTTTGAGCAAACTCTGGGAGATAGTGAAGGACAGGGAAGCTTGGCGTGCTGCAGTGCATGGGGTTGCAAAGAGTTGGACACGACTTAGTGACTGAACAGTAACAACAATACTAAATTGTCTCTCATCCAATATATATTTACATACCTTTATGTACAAATATAGGATTTCCCAGGTGGCACAGTGGTAAAGAATCCACCTGCCAATGCAGGAGACACAAGAGACTTGAGTTCAAACCCTGGGGTGGGAAGATCCCTGGGAGGAGGAAATGACAACCCACTCCAGTATTCTTGCCTGGGAAATTCCAAGGACAGAGGAGCCTGGTGGGCTTCAGTCCATGGCATCACAAAGAGTCAGATATGACTGAGCACACTTATGGAAACACAGTTATTTAATTGACATACATTTTAATAAAAATATTCTTACAATGTTTTTCTGATACATGCTCATTTTACTTAACGTATTCTGTACACCTTTCAATTTCTTTTTTTTGTTTGTTTTAAACTTAATTAAATTTATTTTAAACTTTGTCAGTCTTAACCATATACAAAACTTTTTCTTCAGGGAAACTTCCCACAAACCTTCTAATCACTTTTTTTTTCTCATTTATCTTTATTAGTTGGAGGCTAATTACTTTACAATATTGTAGTGGTCTGTACACCTTTCAAATTCTTAAAAGGTGTTTCTAATGACCGAATCAGTAAAAACATGGGTTTCCTTAGCTGGCGTATTAGTTTTGGTAGGTTAATGTTCTCTGATAAACAAACCCAACTATGTAATATCTTAAGCACAAGCTAAGTTTATCTCCCATGTGATTGCTTAAAGCAGGTTCAGGTCAGTGAGTGGCTGTCTTCATATTGTGATTCAAGGACCCAGGCTCCTTCTAACTTGTTATTCTTGCATAACAGGAGCATATTGTTATCTGCATGATTAAGGCTGGTTGCCACATCCAGGATATGACTGGTAGAAGGGAAACGGAGCATGAGAAAATATGTGCCCTTAAAAGAGTAAGTCCTGAAGTGGGATTTATGTTACTTAATACTCACATTCCCTCAAGGAGCATCTACTCTCATGGCCATCAGACTGCAGTGGAGACTGGGAGATGTAGCCTAGTAAGGAAAGAAGGATAGATTTTGGTGGACATCTTAGTGACTCTGACACAGTTTTGTTGTATATTTGTTTAATTGTATTTTTAAAACATTTTGACCCACTGATCTCATATTAAAAGAATCACTTCTTTAAAGGTGTCACAGGTACTTGTCAAGTGGGCACATCTCTAGTTAGTGGCAGGTTCAGAATGAAAATTGTATTTTCTGATTCCATGACAAAGCTCTTTCTGATTAATGCAACACTTACTTTTTGTGAAGAGTTAATGAAGCTTGAGCTTTTTTTCCCCTGATGATAAGTTTTATTGGAAATATGTCTGTCTAGTAGATGTCGAAGAGAGACTTATTTCTGTAAACTATAGAGTATGGAATTAATTTGAGAAAATAGTTGTCTAGCCAGTTGGTAGGAACAGCCTGCAGAATGTAGACCATATTGCTGGTGTAATTATTTTAGATGCTAACAAAGGAACATTTTGATAACTCTCTAGAGAACCAGATTTTAATTGTTAATCTTGGGACATCACCCCCTGAATTCCACATCCAGTGAATGGGCTTGTATTAACATTCTTCTTAAAGGCTTCAGATAATTACACGTGACCCATGAATGAGCATATAGTAAAGTAGTGACCCCTTATTTAGTCCGGTAATTTGCATGGGTAATTTGGATACCTGAGGTTTTCAAATACTATTTCTTTTCCAATAGGCGTATACAATTACTTTCTTTTTGCTTACGTTAGTAAGATAAACATAAAAATCTCTTTTGATTTGCCCTTACAGTTAGAGCTAAAAAAGTGAGATTCATAATGGTGGAGGAAACTCCTAGTTATTTTATCCAACTTTTGTCTATCTCAGGATATGGAGAATATATATATAAAACTTACACCCCCTTTAAATATCATGTTTCCATAAACGTGTACCATTTTCCTGAAGATACATGTTGTACATGGCTCTTGTAAAATATTTCTCTGGCCCTCTATACATCTTTTATAATGCTACAGGACAATATCTTCAAATATCCATAAAAGATTATAGATTTTATCATGCTTGATTGCAGAAGGCAATCACTGCCCCGGAACTGACTGTCTGCATCTAACTCACTCTGATCTTTTCTCTATAGCTTTAAAGTTGAAGAGGAACATTGGCGGTATGCAGGGCAGGCTGCTGGGGAACGTGCGCCATTAGCTCACCCCTGCTAGGGATGTGTGCCGTTCATTATGTGTGGGCATGACTGTGCCCCATAGAGAGCATGAGCAGGAAAGTACAGTCTTCCCAAACGAATCTCACTCTTACCAAATAAATCTATAGAACTGTTATGTTCATGGGAAGACTTCCTATTGTAAGTTTATTGACTTAGGAGTTGAAATGAGGCTGTAGAGTTATTATTTAAAATAACAAAAAAGTTTAAATGTATATCTTCTGATTAGCTTCCAAGATGAAATACTGACACCATAGGAAATTGCTAATTGAATTTTAACAAAAAAAACCCTTGTGATATTGGTGAATGAGACTTAATAATCAGTATCATGGCTAAGTGAGCATGGTCGATGATGTGTTTCATCTGGATCTTCATGTTAGCAAGAGGTATCTTTTTTTTTAAACTAAGATTATACTGAATAACAAGATATTAAATTAAAAGTGGACTTAAAACCCAAATATTCAAAGTTGTAGTTTTAGGCAAAAATTATCTTTAAATATAAATATCTTGTCTGGAGGGAAACCTGGAAAAAATTCTCTACCAATAAGCAAACAGTATCCCTCATTAGTTACATATTCTGTGCCAAGTTACTATAGAGCACAGGAATAAAAAATCATTTGGAGAAATATGGATAAATGAGGGCTAATCTGAGTTGGTTTACTTTCTACTTGTAACATAGATATAAGCTTCATCACACACAGAAACATTAAAATAGTTAAAACTTGCAAAAGAAATCTGTGAAAGACTATAAAATCAACTTGTCTGGGTTGAGGCAATTAAAGCCTTTAAAATTATATCTGTATATCAAGTGGTACAGAGAGTGCCAATGGTTTAAAATAATTCTTTGGAAATGAACATGTTTCATAAAAGTCATTTTTAAATATATTTTACTTCTGAAATGATCCTTAAAGATTTGGTATCAGACACAATGAAAAGACTCCAAACCCATATTCAACCGTCTATTCTCCTCTTCCAATTAAGCATCACAAAGATGCCCTGAGTTAAACATGTTCAAGACTGAACCATGGTTTTCTCCAGCTCATGGTTCTCTTTCAGTGTTTCCTATCACAGGAAATGGCTGATTTTACATCTATGACGAAAGTTATGAGGAGACTATGACCGAAACTAGAAATGCAGATGAGGAAAAGATGGTATGTGTGGGCAATGTGCATTCATCTTATCATGTTGAATGGAGTTGGGACAGGCAGACTGAAATACTCTGTATACTTGGAGTTAAGAATCTGGAGGAGTCATCTACATAGAGGTGATAGATGAAGTTAAGGGAGACGGATGAGCACTTGAGAGGGAGGGGAAGATTAAAGGGTCTGAGTCTGAGAAGTATATCGTGTATCACCAAATCAAGGGAAGTTTAATGAGAAAAGGGCAGCATCAAGAATCTCAGGGCTTCCCTGCTGGCTCAGTGATGAAGAGTCTGCCTGCCAATGCAGGAGACAGAGGTTCGATCCCTGATCCAGGAAGATCCCACATGCTGGGGGGCAACTGAGCCTGTGCACTCTAGAGCCTGTGCTCAGAAACGACAGAAGCCACCACAGTGAGCGGCCTGTGAAGGCAACTAGCGAGTTGCCTCTGCTCACAGCAACTAGAGGAAGGCCCATGCAACAACGGAGGCAGCACAGCTAAAAATAAAGAGACAGATAAAATTATTGGGAAAAAATTCTCAGTGGATGAGAAATGAGATGAAGCCACTAAAGCTAATGACCTTTGAGAGTTTCTTCTCATGGACAGAGGAGCCTGGGGGGAAACAGTCCATGGGGTCGCAAAAGAGTTGAACACGATTTAGCGACTAAACAACAACAAACTACAATATGAAAAACAGGTGAGCAATGAGGATTTATTGTATAGGATAGGGAATTATAGTCAATATTTTGTAATAATCTGTAATGGAATATAATCTGCAAAAAATATTAACTGAATCACTACGCTGTACACTTGAAACGAATGCAATAGTGCAAATCAACTATACTTCAATTTAAAAAAAACACTTGATTCTAAAAATTTCTGACAGTCCTTCCAACTACATTTGGCTTTATCTGATGTTTAGAAGAAGCTATTCTTCAGGGAAGCTGATGCTATGCTGGACAAATTCTCTGATTCAACTAGAAAGACTCAGCTCTCTTTCCTAAAGCTGACATACGAGCAAAGGGCAAATCAAAGAGGAAAAAAATTTGAACACCCTGAATTCATCACAGTATTTAAACAATTAGAATTTTACTTTATTTCAGAATAAGTTTACTGTTGAAAAAGAGATATTTACTAAAGCCACAACATTATTCATTGGACAAAAAGTTTTATAGCAAAACTGTGGTACACGAGCATTAGTAATTTGAGTACTATATGGTTATAGAAGACATTTAAAAAACAGAAATGATGTATTCCAAAGGCTGTAATAGGCACAATATATATGCTTGTCTTGGGTCTGCAAGCATTATACTAGAATTCACTACAAGTGATCCAAGAAGTTGCAGGCTTTCAGCATTAGGTACTAAAAAGATAAAGGATTATCAGAGTTACTCTTCTATGGAAAAAGCATGTACTATCAATAACACAAAACAGGAGCAGCAAGCCAAGCCAACAAACAATTTTTTAGATTTTAGAAGTTGTAATATAACTATGGCTTTTTTATTTTCATTTTTGAGACTGGTTAGCAAGTCTGGCAAGTGGAAAAGAAGAAAGTCTATAATAAAACATTAAAGACATCACTTTCAAGGCATCTGATATTTCACAGGTTCAAAATTGGAAAACAACCACTGAGCTTGTTCCTAGAGCAAAATTCTGAGGTATTAGAGAGCAAAAAAAAAACCAAAAAACCAAAAAAACCCTGCTTCTTCCTATCAATGTTTTTGCATAAAAATCTTTATGCAGAGAAGTAAAAGTTTCCCAAGTGACATGGCAGAAAAATATTTAAGATGAATCATTAGAGTTTACTTTAGGTTTTTGGTAACTGTAAAGAATACAGGTCTTTTCAAGGACCAAGAAACTGGATATGGTTCTTAGTATGGAACTTTATGTTTTTAAAACAAATATGTATTCAGGCTGACAGTGTATTCATGCTGATAAAGGTGGTAAAAATAAGAAAACAGAAATTGTAGCTTTTTAGAGTATACTACTACTATATATATGGAAATTGTCTAAAAGATAAAAATGTACATCTTAGAGTCTCAAAGGTTTTATTTTTCAACTAGCAATTAAACGCAGGTGTAACAGTGAGTCACGCAGCACCGTTACCTCTCAGCTACTGGGAAAATGATACGAGGGGAACAGAATTCTCTTTTTTTCCCTTTAAGTATGTAATGCTCACAAGTCATCATGTGGAACTCAAATCACACACAAAGGCAAATCATGAAGAGATGCTAAATATTTCAAAAAGCCCTCAGAGGCGTGCCGGAAATGACGCGGTTTCTGCAGCACAGAATTGTCGGAGGCCAAAACTAAAGCAGAGGCGATACTGCAACTTCTGGGTCCTTAATGCTGCTTCTTTTGTTTGTTTTTTCATGTTGGGGGGGGATTCAGGTCAGGGGCTTTGGTGGTCTCTCGGAAACCATGATTTCTGTAGGTTCAGTGATTAGCTTGGCTCCATCCCAGGCTGTCTTGAACTGTTCAGGAACAGGAAATTCTCTCTGGAAAAAAGCAATAAGAGCAAGATTATTTAAACCAAGGCTTTGCAAATTGACTGATGGCTGATTGGTGTCATGCTCAGTCACTCGGGTGTGTCTGACTCTTTGCAACCCCATGGACTGCAGCCCGCCAGTCCATGGGACTGTTCTTCCGTTCATGGGATTTCCCAGGCCAGAATACTGAACTGGTTTGCTATTTCCTTCTTCAGGCAATCTTCCTGACCCAAGGATCAAACCTGCTTCTTCTGCATTGGCAGGAGGCACCAGGGAAGCCCTGTTACATGGTGGACAAAGACATTTTAGAGAACCCAAACCTGCATGGTCATATGACAGCTCTGTGAATGCCTGCCAGCATCCTCATTAATGCCAGAACTTACTAAGAACNATATAAAAATATGCTGCAAGTTGAAAATACATTTGTTATACATCCTGCTTTCCTACTCTTTCCATTGGGAAATACACGCACACATGCCACCCAGATACACTACACACCATATCCTCCCCGCTCCGTCACACACTCACACATACACAAAGAAAAATGCAGAATAGGGAATTCCCTTGTGGTCCAGTGGCTGGGGGGCTTCCCAGGTGGCGCTAAGTGGTAAAGAACCTACCTGCCAATGTAGGAGACATGAGACATGAGAGACATGATCCCCTGGAGGAACTGCATGGCAGCCCACTCCAGGATTCTTGCCTGGAGAATCCCATGGACAGAGGAGCCTGGTGGGCTACAGTCCATAGGGTCACAGAGTTGGACATGACTGAAGTGAATTAGTATGACAGTGGTTAGGATTCTGGGCTTCCCTTGCAGGGGGTGCTGGTTCAACCCCTGGTCAGGGAACTAAGACCCCTCAAGCTTCGTGAGCCTAAAAAACCACATGACTTTTTAAAAAAGCATTAAAAATTGCAGAATAGACAAAATAAAATTAGCTTGAGGTCTCTCCTTTCCCTAGAGAGTGAGTCCCCAGTCATTACAGAAGAGAGCAAAAAAGGAAGGTGAGGAGCAGTCTCCTTGCTTCTGGTTTTGTGGCCTCCCTGGACTTCCTGTACAAACCACCGTTTGAAGGGCTGGGGCCTGTGCTCATCTGTTGGTGAGATGTGATGTTTCAGTGGAAAACACACACGGACACACAGCTTCCTTGACGTAGGATCCAGCTGTTTCTTTTTTAAGAAGCTATTTATTTATTTACTTTAAAGGGAAAGCCCTGTCATGATCGGTGAATTCTCGAGTGAAATTTGGAATGGAGTCTTGTCTTTTTCTTTTTCGGCCGCTCTCCTCGGACATGAATTTGAGCAAACTCCGGGAGATAGCAAAGGACAGGGAAGCCCGCTGTGCCTGCAGTTCATGGGGCTGCAAAGAGTCAGACACGACTTATCGACTCAACAATTCCTTGGCTTGTGGGATCTTAGTTCACTGGCCAGGGATGGAAAGTGGACCCATGACAGCGAAGGCACTGAGTCTTAACCACTGGACCACCAAGGAATTCCCTGCAATGGAGTCTTACCATGAAGCAAAGAAGCTAGAGTCTGAATAAGTGTGTGTGTGTGTCCAACACCCCTTCTGGGGCTCTTCATGAGTAAACCAGACGTGGTGTTTGCTCTTAAGCACCAAGCCAGGTGGAGAATGCTCCAGGGTGAAGGCGCCTATTTGATTGTAACTGTACTACAGCTGTTCCCGATCTTTCTTGGCAGTGCCATGATAGCAACGGGATGACAGATCTTCTCTGGGAGACTGATTTCTTTCGGATGAGTCATCCCCACCATCCACTCCCAGGTTACCATGCCCACCGCAGGACCTCTATTGCTCACTACTCCCTCCAACGGGAAAGCGCACGGTGGGCCCACGCGCTGAGGGCACAGATAATCCACCTATTGAGGGGAGACTACATTTTCAGCATGAAAGCTTAGGTTTTGAGCTCTACTCATCCTTTAGGTCACTGGATCTCAATCTTGGCTCCACATTGGAATCACCAAGGAAGCTCTAAACAAGACAGATGTCAGGGTACCACATCCAGAGGTTCTAGTTTAATTAGCCTGGAGTGCTCGTGCAAACCCTCATAGCTTTTCTTAGCAGATCCACTTCCCCTGCAGCTGAGTTTTCTGCTTAGACAGCTGCAAGGGCCAGGAGTCTCCCTAATTTTTGGCTTCCTTCTTCTGAAGCTGCTTTGTATTGGCTTCAACTCTTCAGTAGCTTTTTCAGGTGGAGTGCCCGAGAGGAGATGCTTCCTAGCTCAGGGTTAGGCAGTCTAACTACCTCATGTAGCATGGCCCAATGCTTGCAGTTTTGCTTTTCAGACTTAAATAATGAATTCTGGGCAGCAGTACATTGTGTGTGCCTGAGAAGGGCTTACTGAAGACATGGCAGCAATCTCATTGTCCGCTTAAAGACATTAACCCAAGCGCTGACTGCTGTGTAGACCACCAGTGACTGACCCACAGGCTGCTGGGGTTGTGGGGGCTCCCCTTTCAAAGGTGTGCCTGGCTAAGTTATGTTTTATCCCATCCTTCCCTGGTTCACTGCATTCCTTGAACCAGAGGGAATGATCTCTTGATTTATTTCTCTTTCAAGAAGCAAAGACTAGTAGGAAGAAATATTAATAACTTGCTACCAAATGGCAACAACCAGCAAGTCCCCTGCACTGTGTGACACAAAAAGTGTATTTGTTTATACTTCCTTTTCAGTGTGAGACTATATACTTGCATCTTTTAGAAACTGCTTTGTTGAGGAGTAGAGACAAAGAAAATACCGGGTGGCTTAGGTGAGTGTTTCTCAGAAGGCCATTGGATGGGCTGATGGCATCAGAATCATCTGGGATATATTAAAACCACGGATTCCTGGACCTCATTCCAAGCCTCCTGATTCTAACCTCTGGGTGCAAAGTTTGGGACCTGCTATTTTCATCATGTTTCCCAGCTGATTTTTTTTTTTTAATTGACTGTGCCACGTGGCAAGTGGAATCTTAGTTCCCTGACCAAGGATCGACCTGCCTTGGAAGCACTGCGTCTTAACCACTCAACAGCCAGAGAAGTCCTTAGCTGGTTCTCATGCTGGGTGTGAGAACCACCGTACAAACAGGTTCACTTATTATTACCTCCTTTCCCTCTGCGTGCCCCCAAAGCACTTCTCCTTCTTTCCTTTTGCCCCCACCATGTGTCAGTCCCTCAGTCGTATCCGACTCTTTGTGACCCCATGAACTGTAGCCCGCCAGGCTCCTCTGTCCATGGAATTCTCCAGGCAAGAATACTGGAGTGCACTGCCATTCTCTTCTCCAGGAGATCTTCCCGACCCAGGGATTGAACCCAGGTTTCCTGCATTGTAGGCAGATTCTTTACCATCTGAGCCACCAGGAAGCCCATGCCCCATCATACCAAAGGAGAATAATTAGTCTAGTAAAATGAGCTCAGACACCTGGTATGCTATTTGATGATGATGATGTTAGTTGCTCAGTTGTGTCTGACTCTTTGCGACCCCGTGGATTGTGGCTCGCCAGGCTCCTCTGTCTATGGGATTCTCCAGGCAAGAATATGGGAGTCAGTTGCCATTTCCTTTTCCAGGGGATCTTCCTGACTCAGGGATTGAGTCCAGGTCTCCTGCATTGCAGGCAGATTCTTACCATCTGAGCCACGAGGGCCCTTACTGTTTGATGAAAGCTGGCCCATTAAGGTAATTATTAGGAAACCGCTTTGAGAACCACAAATCTGGGACTGGGCACAGTCAAGAATCTAACAGGGGAGCCGACATGTGAAAGGCCATTCTCTTGAGTTCCTTTCTTAACTGCAATTTTTCTACAAAGGAAGCTCAAAACTTGGTAGGTGACTAATCAGTCTCTAAGAACGTTAATCATGAAAAATCCTTTACAGTCTTCTAAAAGGTACTTACATAATCACCATCCTGAGGGATAAGTATATTCATTTCAGATGACTTGGCACTCACAATCTCACAGTCTAACGCATCTTCACTGAGGTATATGTGGCAGCCTTCTGTCTTATTAATGGAAATTGTTGGCACTTTCCCCATTACCTGAAATAGAAAAAAAAAAACCTAGGGCCAAAGCAAATAAATAGAAATTCCAAAATCCCCAAATAAGTACAGTCCACGGGCCTAAGCAAGCGTTAGGAATAGCTAGGTCAGGGCTGGGGAGGCTGGTTGACGACAGTGTCTCCAAGGTGAATTAGTAGGTGTCATTTGGGGACAGAATGAAAGGACCACACAAGGGGATTCTCAAACCTCAGGGTCTCTTTCCTGACACAAAACAAAGGGACTAATTTGAAAACAGCAGCTAAATGTTCAGAAGACGTTTCACAACCCTATTAGTGGAAATGAAGCATATATTTGATTTCATGATAAAAGAAACAAGATGCTTTTGCTTTTATGTGCTTAAAATTTTAGTTTTGACACATCTCTAGGAAACTTGGATGAAAACACACATGAATATTGTCCTTTAAGAGTAAATTATTCTGTAAATGAGTAGATTTTTTTCCCGAATCTAAGTAAGAATAAGTAAAAATCACTACAATTCTTCTCACATAAGTCCTTTGCTAGATAAAAATCACACTGGCTGAATGCAGAGCTTAAATGAGATAATGAGTGTCTAAGTATTTTGAAATGTATTCATTTCAGGAGCCCAAACTGGAGACTTGGTTCAGGCCACTCATTGTATGGGTAAATAGTATCATACACAAGAGGAGGTGGTTCTTTGTATTATTACAAATATCAAGTGCTATAAAAATTCTGATCAGTTTAAAATTTCTTTTTTACAGTCCCGTTTTCAGACACAGCCACGACCACCGCCTCCCCCCACCGCCACCACACCCAAATCTCTACAGGGACAGACTGTTCCCCCAAAGACCATATTACAACTCTATAACTTTCCTTCTTGTAATGGTAATTGAAGTGATAAAAACATCTCCTCTTTCACCCTGAAGAAAAGACTGGGTTGCAAATTAAAGAGCAAGGCTTGTGATGGTGCAGGTGATGTAAAGAATTCCTTGGGGGAGCCTGGCCAGGTCACCACACTGCTCTGTTTTCTCCTCTCCCCGTAGAAACTGGACACTGAGTTTGGAACTGAGCCACAGTGAGGGAAAAAATAAAAGGCAGAGGTAGTTCAAGGTCAGCTAAGCAACAAGGCTTTGCCATAAATTAAATAAAATAATACCTATATCTATATATCAAGAATGTGTCAGCAGTAATGTTTTGACAATTTCTAGATTTATTTTATAATGATGGAGAGCATTTCCATACTGCCCAGAACTGTATGAATACCTGGCAAGCAAAGGGAATGCAAGTAATTTGTCACTGTGTCTTGGGCAATTCGTTTATGAGACAGAGTGGGGTCACTTGAGGATAGCACAGTATGCAAAGACATTTTATTTTTGTTTATGTATCACTGTGTTACTTTAAAAATGCTAGAAGATCTGTGAAAAATCTGAAAAACAGGACAATTTTTAAAAAATAGTCCTGATAGGATAAGAACTGTCATTTCCACAGCATTTTAGTCAGTATTTCCTTAGAGTAAATTACATACAACATATGTCTTTTATCCCTTGTAGTCTGTAAACATTTTGAGAACAGAGATTGTTTCTTATCAGGAGAACTGAGCTAACAAGTAGCTTCTCTGTTGAGTGACAGGTGATATGTGACCTTGCCCAGGCCAATGCTGTAGCATTTAATGCATGTATCTGTATTAACTTTCTTTTTCTTCAATTTATTTCTCTATAAAAATTTCCACATAATATCTTAGTCTCTTCTCTCTCCCACAATTTGTACTGTTTTTTTCTGGGATAGTTTGCTAAAAAAACAGAATAACTGAACTAAATCACATGAATCCGTGTCCTTTTCTTCCTTTCAGTCTTTTAAAACTAATTAATGTGGCTGTGCCAGGTCTTAGTTGTGGCATTCAGGATCTTTTTTAAAAAAGTTATTTATTTATGTTTTTACTGTGCTGGGTCTTCGTTGCTGTTCGCAAGCTTTCTCTAGTTGCAGCGAGCGGGGGCTACTCTCTAGATGTGGTGCTCAGGCTTATCGTTGTGGTGGCTTCACTTGCTGCAGAGTATGGGCTCTTGGATGCATGAGTTTCAGCAGCTGCAGCACACTGGCTCAGCACTTGTGGGTCCTGGTCTCTAGAGCATAGGTTCATCAAAAGTTCTGGCACATGGACTCAGCTGCACCTCTGCATGTTGTATCTTTCCAGATCAGGGATCGAACCCATGTCTTCTGCATTAGCAGGCAGACTTCTCACCACTAAGTCACCGTGGAAGCCTGGCATTCAGGATCTTTAATTGCATCATGTGAATTCTTGGTTGCAGCATGTGGGATCTAGTTTCCTGACCAGGGATCGAACCTGGGCTCCCTGCATTGGGAGCATGGAGTCTTAGCCACTGGACCACCAGGGAAATCCCCTTGGAATCTTTTAAACAGCATTATAGAAGTAAAATGTGCAAACATAAAATTCACCTGCTTTAAGTGTACAGTTTAATGGTACTCAGTAAATTTGTACAACCGTCACTTCAATTCAGTTTTAGAATATTTCCATCATCCCCTAAATATCCCCAATGCCCATTTATAGTCAATTTGTCCTCATTGCCAGGCAGCCTGCACTAATCTGCTTTCCGTCTTCATTGTGTCCAGGCCCTTTTAAAATAGTTTATTAAATGTTTTAAATAGGTAATGAAATTCACTTGGTTTGAACATCGAGAAGTTTGAGAAGTGTTCAGTAAAATATCTCTTGTTTCTGAGCCAGGCTGCCAAGTTTCTATCCCTCTTGGACAGATAACCATGGTTCATCTTTCCAGATTATTTTAAGGCTCATAGCCTCGAAAAAACTAGGATATATTTCAAACATGGGAGCACACAAAGAATAATAAAACAAATATGTGTGTGTGTGTGTATGTCTGTTAAACAGCTTTATCAGAATTTAACTTTTTGGCTTATTTGCCTTATTTTTAGGGCTATAATCTTATACTATAGTTGAAACCCCCTCTATACCATCCACCATCTCCCTGTCCTCCCTTCTTCCCTCCACAGATTTATTTACTCTTCTGAATTTTGTGTTTACAGTTCACAGCAGGTTTGTCTCCTGAGGTGAACTCAAGCCTGCATTAGTATATTTAACATGTGCATATTGTTTTGCATGTTTTTGATCTTTATATAAAGGCACACATTATACAGTGCCTGTTGTTCTGTAATTTGCCTTTATCATTCAAGGTTGCTTTTGAGATTTCCCTGTTTTTAAACATGTAAGTGTATTCAATTATTTTAACTATTGTACAGTACTCTATTAGGTAGATTTACTTGTTTACTTACCAGCTGTTGGACATTTAAATTGTTCTGGGTTTCACTGCCATTATGAATAATACTGCAATAAACAGTTTTACATGTCTCATCAACATACGTATTGGAGCTTCTTAGGTGCACACGCCCAAAAGTGAAATTGCTCAGTTACAGGCTATGACTGTCTTTGACTTTATTAGATGGTGTCAATTTCTCTGCACGGTGAGTGTAATAGCTTTGCTCTCTCAACACTGGTGTATCAGGATTCTCATAACAACTTTTATACCAGGAGACTTTTTAATATATAGGCAGTCCTCAAATTGCACAGTTCCAATATGCATGAGTTTCAGCTCACAAGCGCTTTGCAAAGTAAGCACAGCCTGAATTCAAAACTGACGAGTAGAAGAGGACATACCCAATTAATCTGCATTTCTTCTTCTATTAGGGAGGTTATGCATATTTTCATGTGTTTATCAAACACTTCAGTTTTTCCTCCTCTGAACTGCCTTAATATTCTTTGCCCATTTTTCTACTGGGTTGTTAGTTTTCTTCTATTTGATTTGTGTTAACTTTATAAATTCTGGTTATAAATCCTTTTAGATAATCTGCATTGCAAGTATCTTTCTTCAATCCATACCTTGTCTTTTAGCTTTGCATCTGATGTCTTCTGTTGAACACAAATATTTTAATGAGGTTAAATTCATTTGTCCTTTTCTTCTATATTTTATTCTCAAAGTTTAAAAGTATTTCTTTTCACAATTAGGACTTCACTTTTCATGTACGGTATAAGGTAGAGATTAGGTATTTTTTCTCTGCATGGAGGGTCCTAAAATATATCTCCACATATGTGCCAACTATTGAATATACTACTCGAGTTAAAAGAGGCAGTGGTGAAAAGCCTAGTAAAGCCAAAGAGAACAATCTATAAAACTGGAAGCCAAGTTTAACAAACATTATCAGGAAACATCAGATAATAAGGGGTGATTAACAATATGAAAAGGGTATAATCAAAGATAGTAGCTGCAGTTGGCCAAAGTAAGAAGTCATTTAGCTTTGGGCATATTATAAAATCCCATTTGGCTAAATTAAAATTGCTTAAACAGTGCAGATTTTCTTCTGTTTTGCAAATTCAATTCCAATCCTACTTTCCATCTTGTTTTGCTGATAATCTCATTGACTCTTCAGAAAAACTTTATCCAGAATCATTTTTTTCCTGAGGGAAAAACATCCTCTTTGGCAGGGTACTATTATGCAAAGAGGATCTCGTACTATTTTGGTTCATTTATTAGTTGATTCATTCCAATCACTCACTCATCAAACATTTACTGAATACCTACTGTGTGCAGGTATTGTGCAGATTTCTGGAGCTGTAAAGATTAAGTAGCTGTTCCTGAAATAGAAGTGGTAAGCTTGTAATTGCTGTGCAAAACAGGGTGGGTTATAAGAGGGTGAAAAGAGGGAATTAACACTGTCCAAGAAGGAAGAGAGGGCTTCAGAGAGGAGCTGAAGACAAAGCTGTATCTAGAGAAAAGACAGTATGAGTTTTCTAGCTGGATATGGAGGGCCCCTTGTAAACAGATGGGGTGGTCTGGTGGTGGCTGGGCAAGGTTGAAAGGACCACTTACCTGCATTTGGATGTCCTTGGAGTTGATCACTTCCACAATGCCCACCACATTGTCAAACACCAGGCCAAACTTCTTACAGTTGTCTAGGAAAACAAAACATAACAAAACAGTCCCCTAAATACAGACAGCATATTTATACAAAGCAATTTATCATAATGAGTACAGATCTATAGTTCTGCCCTACCAATTATAATGGAATTTATTTTCCCTTTTATCTGCAGAGTAGACTTGCCGCACTTGAAAATGTATGCCACCTGTCTCAGTTCAGTCTCTGAAATCACAAGGTCATTCCTGTCCTCTTGGTATTCCTAAAATTAAAACACAGGCAAATATTAAATATAAGGACAGATAGATAGATGAAGTCCACTGCATACTGAAATTACTGTGGAGCATTCACCAATTAGAGCTTCTCAGTATGTTCTTTCTTTAGGAACCATTTTCTTAGAGACTAAACCACAGGCCTGCCTTTGTCTCTGTGATGTTGGGAATGATTACTTGGAAGTAGGGGGTGTCAGGGTCCATTTGCGAACAGTCAGGCATCAGGCACCCTGGCTGGTGGGTGGGGGCTGGACCAGGGATGTGAGAGCTTTTGGTTAAGTCCAGATGCTGAGTCTGGAGTTGATGCTATAGCAATATCTGCAAATAGGAGTTGGGTAAATAGATTAGCAGTGGTCCAAGTCCCAGTGTATTCTCAGACCACAGCAACCTTTCTGGGGACTGTGTTCCTCCACCTTTAGGGAAGCCTCCTGGATTGGCAGGGTTTCCCTGATGGCTCAGATGGTAAAGAATCCACTTGCAAAACAGAAGACCTGGGTTCGACCCCTGGGTTGGGAAGATCTCCTGGAGAAGGGAATGGCTACCCACTCTAGCATTCTTGCCTGGAGAATTCCTTCCATGGACTATAGTCCATGGGCCTGCAAAGAGTCTGACACGACTGAGTAACTAACATTTTCACACTGGATTGACAGGAGGTACCAGCTTCCATCCACATACAAAGTGTCCTGTCCTGCTCAGACAACGGTGAAAGTGGTGGGTGACTCAGTAGGTTATATCAGTGCCTTGGTCAGTGGAACAGAATGAAACATCCTACAGCAGATGGGGCAGAGATTGAAAGCTCACTGACAGTGGAGTCAGATTCACAGAGACACAAAGTAGAAAGGTGGTTGCCAGGGGCTGAAGAGAGGGGAAGTGGAGAATTACTGTTGAAGGTGTGCAGAGCTTCAGTTCTAACAGATGAAAAGAGTTCGGTGGATGGATGGTGGTGATGGCCGCACAGCAGTCTGATGGTACTTAATGCCACTGAACTGTACACTTCAATGTTAAGATGGTAAATTTTGTGTCACATGTACTTTACCACAGTTTAAAGAATAATTTTGAAGAAGTTGAAGAAAAAAATGCATGAGAATAATGAAAACCAAAAAACACTTACGGAAGCATTCAGAAAGGCCCTGGTTTCTATTCTAGCCAGTGACTTGTGTCTCTGTCTTTTCACTTAGAAATCCTTAGTGCTACTGCTAAGTTGCTTCAGTTATGTCCGACTCTGTGACCCCATGAACTGTAGCCTGCCAGGCTCCTCTGTCCATGGGATTCTCCAGGAAAGAATACTGCAGTGAGTTGCCATGCCTTCCTCCAAGGGATCTTTTCGACTTAGGGATCAAACCCAGGTCTCTTATACTGCCTGCGTTAGCAAGCAGGTTCTTTATTACTAGCACCACTTGGTAAGCCTTAGAAATTCTTAAGACCTTGGCAAACAGTTAAGCCATTGCTCCTTTCATTGGAGTATATCAGGAATAAAGTTAAAGGGCTTCACTCACCACTCTCCATTTCTTCCCTTCTAGCTCTAACACAGGAGCATGTTTCTTAGGAGGATGAGACTGGGGAGACTTGGGGCCTGGAGTGTGGCTTTTGGTAGGAGATGGAGATTGTCCTCCATGAGCCCGTAGGTTGGGATTCTTGTATGTCTTCTGTTCATCTGTAACATGCCGGAGTCCTGGGAAGGTAACACAGAGGCACATTTTTTTAGATCATATGCAAAGGGAAATGTTCCTGACTTTTCGGATCAACATGATGTAAATGGCCTAAGAATTTTTGGTAATTCTATTTTAACAGTTGAGTGTTTTCTCAAGGTTAGTATGCAGAGTCTGAGACTTGCATAAGTTTAGAGTTGATATAAGCACTGTTAAGTAGTTTTTAATTGGAGGAACTTCTTTTTGAAGGTGATAAGATGATAGATAAAATTATGCAAAAAGCTACCTCACCAGAAAGAATTCGATGATTTACTTCTGTTGTGGCCAAGTCATTCCCTAGATATAGTCTAAAAAGTTAGGGCATTTCAGCAAACATAGGTCAGAATCGATTCAACGGTTATAAGTTCATTCTCTTCCTTTACAGGTGAGGGGACAACACAGCCAGTTGGAGCCAGAAAAACAGTTCAATCTTTTGGTCTTTAGCTCCCACCCCAGCACATAGGAACACTTATACCATAATTCCTATTGCCCATACAAAACAAAAATATATTTGCATAAGGTTTTTGGCAACACGACTTTATTCAGTTCAGTTCAGTCGCTCAGTTGTGTCTGATTCCTTGTGACCCCACGAACCGCAGCACGCCAAGCCTCCCTGTCCAGCACCAACTCCCGGAGTTTACCCAAACTCATGTCCATTGACTCAGTGATGCCATCCAATCATCTCATCCTCTGTTGTCCCCTTCTCCTCCTGCCCTCAATCTTTCCCAGCATCAGAGTCTTTTCAAATGAGTCAGCTCTTCTCGCATCAGGTGCCCAAAATATTGGAGTTTCAGCTTCAATATCAGTCCTTCCAATGAACACCCAGGACTGATTTCCTTTAGGATGGATTGGTTGGATCTACTTGCAGTACAAGGGACTCTCAAGAGTCTTCTCCAACACCACAGTTCAAAAGCATCATTTTTTGGCACTCATCTTTCTTTATAGTCCAACTCTCACATCCATATATGACTACTGGAAAAACCATAGCTTTGACTAGATGGACCTTTGTCGACAAAGTAATGACTCTACTTTTTCATATGCTGTCTAGGTTGGTCATGACTTTCCTTCCAAGGAGTAAGTGTCTTTTAACTGCATGGCTGCAATCACCATCTGCAGTGATTTTGGAGCCCCCCAAAATAAAGTCTGCCACTGTTTCCACTGTTTCCCGATCTATTTGCCATGAGGTGATGGGACAGGATGTCATGATCTTAGTTTTCTGAATATTGAGCTTTAAGCCAACTTTTTCACTCTCCTCTTTCACTTTCATCAAGAGGCTCTTCAGTTCTTCTTCACTTTCTGCCATAAGGATTGTCAGCCGCATATCTGAGGTTATTGATATTTCTCCCGGCAATCTTGATTCCAGCTTGTGCTTCTTCCAGCCCAGCATTTCTCATGAGGTACTCTGCATAGAAGTTAAATAAGCAGGATGACAATATACAGCCTTGAAGTACTCCTTTTCCTATTTGAAACCAGTCTGTTGTTCCATGTCCAGTTCTAACTGTGGCTTTCTGACCTGCATACAGGTTTCTTAAGAGGCAGGTCAGGTGGTCGGGTATTCCCATCTCTTTCAGAATTTTCCAGTTTATTGTGATCCACACAGTCAAAGGCTTTGGCATAGTTAATAATGACTTTATTAAGTGTATGATTAAAAAAAAGTAACCATTCACTGCGAAGACAAAGGTAGTTCAATGATATAATCCTTTGACAAGCCCATACACTGCTTGAGGACAGAGGTTCTATATTCTTCATCTTGATGCCTTGGTTGGAGCTGGTGTTGGAGCGTCAGAGGCTGAAGTGGTGATACAGTGCATTGGTCAATTTGAAACTAGAATCTCTTGAGTTCTTTTTGATCCACCCAGAAGCCCACTGAGCCCATCATTTCATAGTTCCCTGTGTACTGGAGACTAAGATGGAATGATGTATCCATCACTGTGGGCTCCAGGGGATCTGTATGCTTGGAGCCAGAGGGAGACAGTCTCAAGTCTCGGTTTTCTTACCTTTTGTAATTGCCTCCCCTTGGTTAAGTTGTGCAAATAAAGCTGAGCGTGAAGGAGAGGATGCTTCTTTTATGCCCTCGCTCTCAAAAAGCAGAGGTGGCCCTGGAGGAGGCGGGGGAGGTGGGGGTGGAGGAAGCCCAGGCCCAAGGGAGAGGACAGACAATGCTGATGCAGTTGATGCGACCGGACCCTGCGGGAGAAAGAAGATGGAAAGCACGTTACTGAAATGATGCCCTTGCTGAGAACTGAGATCCTGCCAGCATCACTGAGAACCTGTTGTCAGTGGGAGACTGGAGTTCGAGATTCACAGAGGGCACCTGGGAATACACCTGTGCATCATGGGTCTGTTCCGGAAGACCTGGGACCGAGTGGAGGTTTGTCTCGGGGACACAGAGCATGACGCAGAAACTGCACGTGCAGGATTGTGCCAGCTCAGCTCACTTCAGTGGCTCAGTTGTGTCCCACCCTGTGACCCCTCGGACTACAGCACGCCAGGCTTCCCTGTCCATCACCAACTTCTGGAGCTTGCTCAAACTCAAGTCCATCCAGTCGGTGATGCCATACAACCATCTTACCCTCTCCTCCTGCCTTCAATCTTTCCCAGCATCAGGAAAACAAAGCCACAGGTTCATGTCCAAAGCTCGGGATGTGAATGAAACTGGGCTTTGGCCAACTGATGATCACAAGAAAAAAGTGGTGCAACTGATAAGAGGATTCTTTTGGGGACATTGGGAATTGCAACCACCCAATGAGAGAGAGAGAGGTGAAATAGTTTCAGTGGTTAGCTTTTTGAGCAGCTCAAAAAAGAAATATTGAAACATTCTCCAGGACTCGTTTTTCAGGTATGCAAGCCTCAAACTGAACCCCACGTGAGGACCATATGTGACCAGCATGTCTGTCAAACACGCAGGTAATCAGGGTCCGGGATCCTTCTGATGATTTGGTTCGTCTAATGCTAAGTGTTCGTAAACCAGAGAAAACTGTATTTTTGCCTGATCAAGGCCCATGCTTTTTCTTTTCCCTGCTATGCGAAGTTCAATCTTTGTTTTCAATATGAAGTTCTAACAAACTCAGATGTCACTAAAAGGTGATTGATAGAAAATACAGGGATTTGTCTCAATGTTTTGAAAGGACTCCATAGACAAAGTTGTCACAGAGTTTAAAACTAGTAAGATAGAAACACACATATACTATAACCTTGTGTTATATACCATTTTATTTTTAAACCCGGAGTAAAGCTGTATGCCTGTGATAAAGAATGATAAGTTAGTTCAATTAAAAGATCAGAAACTTTAAAAATTGAGAGTGATGAAAATGTGGTTGAGACTTATATTAATATGTTTTCAATACCAAATACAATATATAAAACATCAACATAACTGCTAAATATTAACAAAGACAGCAGATCCTTATTTTCATAAATATGGCAGTATTACAAAGTGTCAATATCAGGAAATTTTTACCTGTGGTAGTTTTCAGTTGAAAAATCCACACTATTTTCAAAGTACTTATATAATCCCTATTTTTTTCCCTTTATTTCTATTAGTTGGAGGCTAATTACTTTACAATATTGTAGTGGTTTTTGCCATACATTGACATGAATCAGCCATGGATTTACATGTGATCCCCATCCTGAACCCCCCTCCCACCTCCCTCCCCATCCCATCCCTCTGGGTCATCCCAGTGCACCAGCCCTTGAGCACTTGCCTCATGCATCCAACCTGGACTGGCGATCTGTTTCACACTTGATAATATACATGTTTCAATGCTATTCTCTCCCATCATCCCACTCTCGCCTTCTCCCATAGAGTCCAAAAGTCTGTTCTATATATGTGTCTCTTTTTCTGTCTTGCATATAGGGTTATCGTTACCATCTTTCTAAATTCCATATATATGTGTATAGTCCCTAATAAGTGTAGAATTATCCTGAAAATATGAGATTCTTCTCTTATTGAGAATGAATATCTTTAAAACTGAGTAGGCTGGGAGTTCTCATCTCTTGAAATTGTAATTTGTGACTTTTTTGTTTGTTTGTTTATCAGGAAGAACAGTGTGACTCCATTGGGATTCTTGGGTCAAGTATAAAATAACTGCACAGTTCTTGAGACAGACCAATTTTTTTTCAGTATCTTAAATACTCCCTATTTTGTTACTGGGGTGAAATTTGAGAATTTGCTCTGAATCATAAACAGCATAAAATACAAGCTTTGCACATCTAACACTATTCCAGTCCTCAGTTCCAGACACTCAGAGCTACAGCGTATTACTTTTACTCATAAGCACATCATAACTTAGTCAGCCAGTGAAGGGCCAGGCCCCTCCCCCACATCTGAAACACTGCAGCTTTAAAGATCTCCTATTTTGTGGAAAGGGGAGACCGGCTTCTAAATCTTAAAATGACTTAGATGGTTCCCTCGCTCTCAGAATTCACAGCCTCTCTCCAAGAGCCATTAAAGGACACTGAAACCAATTAAGCCACATATTCAACTTCTTGGAACTATGATACATTCGGATGGCTGACCCGGGAACACCAAACAAAGGATTTACTGCAACAAATGTTGACTATAAAAGCCAAAAAAAATAAGAGAACTCAGGACCAGTTGAAACTCTGCCTTTGGTTATCCTTTGTGCATTCTGGCTCATTTCTGGCTCCAACGAGGGTGCAGCCCAGGCTCTATAGTTTCCAGGGTGACGTGACAAGCAGCGCCCAGGGCTTTCCATGCAGTGTCCTCGAAGGCAAAGCAGACATTCCCTTAGCAGGCTCACCCTGGGCTGCACACTACAGTGAACTTATCCTTGCCTCCTGCTCCTCTCCCGCAGGCATCTGGGACCAGAGCTGTCTGTGCTCTCCTGTGCCTGGCATGAGTGGCAGCTGCATCGACTGTAATCACAGCCTGACACTGTCTTCAAGTGTTCCCTTAAGACAGGCGAGATGGTCAGCGAAGGGAAGGGAGCCAAGAATTCTGGAAAACCTCACACTCGCCAGGCCCTGGTTGTTCCCACTCATTTAACAGATACTTAATGCTCAGTGTAGGACAGGTTCAATGTCAAGGGTCCCCAAATTTATCTGAACTTTAGAATCAGCTGGGGATCTGCTAGAAATTCCCAAGCAGGAACACTCTGGGGAGGTGGAACATGGGCCTCTGTACTTTCTGAAGCTCCCTAGGTGATTCCAATGTGTGGACAAGTTTGGGAAGAAACACTCTATGCTTTGTGATGAGATTAATCTTAGTCATCACAATATTAATAAGACTGAAATTACCCCTCTAACAGAAAACAAAGCAGGAAGTCAGAAAGGCTGACGATATACTCAATGGCCAGTAAATGGCAGCGATGTAATTCAAGCACATATCTGCTTGATCCTAAAATTTTCTTCAGGGGAAATCCTTTTTGCTATATTCAGGTATTAAAAAAAAAAGTAGTCAATCAATTAAAAAATCAGAGGCATGTGTTACCCAACATATATGTGGGCTTCCCTTGTGGCTCAAATGCCACAATGTGGGAGACCTAGGTTTGATCTCTGGGTCGGGAGGATCCCCTGGAGAAGGGAATGGCTACCCACTCCAGTATTCTTGCCTAGAGAAGTTCATGGACAAAGAGGCCTAGCAGGCTACAGCCCAGAGGATCGCAAAAAGTCGGACATGATTGAGCAACTAACACTACTACTACTAACATGTACGAAGTGTTGCTCGTGGGCCTCTGGCTTGAATATACATGAAGTACTGGGCGGTGGTGTAATAATTTAATTTTTATCTCCGCTACTCGCTCCATCCCTCCAATGCCTCAGCAGCTGACCAGGCTCCTACAGCCAACTCTGGAGCTGGGCTTTATCCCATGGGATAAAGAAGTCTTCAGTATTGGCATCTCAGCAGCAAGTCACCCTCGACGCTGGTTTGTTCAGACTCTGTGCCCTCGTTCTAGCAGTTAGACTCTTGCTCATCCACTTTTCCTGAGTACCCACTGGTGCCAGTAATGGGGTACTTGCTATCAAATTTATGATTTTAAATGGCTATATTCAGGGTACAAAAGTTCATTTATCTTGTAAGAACACAGCACATAACCTAAAAATGCTGCTTTCGAAAGCTCTATTAAGATTAATTTTGAGAGCAGATGCTTGATTATTTACTTTTGAGTCGGGGAAGGGAGGCACAAAGACTTTTAAAAACGTCTGCAAATCCCTTTCTCTAAATTAATTTCAACTGTCTTGGGAACAGCTGCTTCCTCTGACTTTAAATATATGAATGATAACTATGAAATAATGAAACCATTGTATGTGGGCATGTGGAAAGCTTGTAAAGTTTTGGTTATGTATACTCTCTATATAATTATACTACATGTAATATATTTATATACTAAAGTGAATCAGAATTTTTTCATTAAATGTTACTTGAAATAATTACTTATTTTATTACTTTGGAATTTAGGTTTTATTCTGAAAGGGAAAGTACTTCTAGTTCTTAAATGAAATCTCCACACTGTTTTGCTGGTGTAATTAAACAAGCACTTCTATCCGCCACAACACACACCATTGTCTTAGTTATCCAGTTAATTCGGGGATAGTCTAGCTTTGGATTTAAATAATCTACAAACAGGACTCCAGTTATCCATTTTGTTGAGTTTGTTGACAGTAGGACTAATAGGGTGCTTTTATATGGAGGTTTTATGTCTTTGTGACAATTATTGAACAAAATGTGAAATAGAGCTGTTTAAGCAAAAAATAAAAAAGAAATCAGCTTCAAAGAAAAATTTTCTGTTGAAGATATTCTACTTAATAATTATCCTTTTGGGGAAATTTTCAACTTCACTTTTTAAAGTTTAAGATTTTTCAAGTTCAACAATAGCAATAGCAAATGATCTGATCTAAATAGAACCTAACTCTTCAATAGATGGAAAGTGAATTAGAATAGACTCATTTGTCCATTCAACATTTGCCAAGAGCAACCTTGAAAGAAACTGGGTGGATGATGAAGAAGTAGGCATGCGTCTTGGTTGTTAAGAAAGTCATAATCTAGTGGGAATGGTGAGTGCACAAAATAGCAGTTGCAGATGAAGTTTGGTGTGTTGTGATTCACAAGAACAGGAGGCCCTGGTGGCCCAAACGGGGCTGTGGCTGGCTCTTCTCAGGATAGTGGGGTCAAGAGAGCCAGAGAATTGCTGGGGTGGCTTAAGCTGGGGCCATAGCATCGAATG